GACATTAGCGCCATGTTCCATCAGTTCGTGATCGAGCTTGGCCTCAAGTCTCTCGACGAAATCTTTCAGTTGCACATCCTCTAAGGCCTGCCATAATTCAGCGTCTTGAAACCTGTCTAAAATGTCGAGATTTTTCCTCAATGATCCACTAAAAAGAACAGGACTTTGGCCAAGAACCGAGATGCCTCGTCGGGCTTCTTGGAGGCCTATCTCTTTAATTGGAACATTGTCGATGATTATCTCTCCATCAGCATCAGGCATGCGCATAAGAGCTGCTACAAAGGACGACTTCCCAGCTCCTGTGCGGCCGGCAACTCCAATCTTTTCTCCTCCTTTGCTGCTAAGATTGATTTTCTTTAGCACTTGAGGTCCCCCCGGATAGTAAGTCAGAGATACATCTCTGAAATCAATACTTCCTCTCCGAGGCCAATCTTTTGGGGGTTGTCGCTCTTCCTCGTATCCAGGCTCCCGGTCGAGTTTGGTGTAGGTCATAACTCGCTCAACTGACGTCATGTAGTTTTCCACTTCAGAGGTTTTTCTAACTAAGTATTGAGTCACGCTCAGAGTTTGGATGACATAAACAAGAGCGAGACCAGCAGAAGCTGAAAAGAAAATCAGACCTTTATTCTATAAATTCTAGTCAGACCAGTCTTCCTCCACAACCTTGAACCTTTGAGGAAAACTTTAAAAAGTGTTGGTCACTTTGTCTTGTCAAGGCAGTCAGTTAATGGGAAAGATAAAAACCTTTTCCTCGTTATTATTATATACCAGCTCTTTGTTTAGTCTTCTTAAGGTTAACAACCAAAATTTCACTTGTGAAGACGCGTGAAAGTTTGCTGAGCTCCTGAGCCGCCCGAGTGACCCTCACGTTTCTGTCGTGTTTAAAAACCACCCGTGGATAGGTTTTGACAGCCACATGGGCTTGCATAACTATCGGGTACACCACTCTCCCACCCACTCTCGTGTTTAGAGGAGGCTTTTTAGACGCGGTTAAACTCCTCTATGGCTTTGCTTTCCTAAAATAGGTGATAAGAACTGTCGCGAATCTAAAATGTCCTAAATCTCACCTGTACACACCTGTCGACCAATGAGAGTGCGCTTATAGCCTCACTTATTTCATAGTTAGTTCAGCAGTACATGCTGTACACGACTATACAGATTCGTAATAAATAGGAAGAGTCGAAAACGTTCCTAAGAATCTTCAGCTTACCGGCATCTTGAGATACAAAGACTGCAGCCAGAGCAACTGCACCGACTAACAGGGAAGCGAGACAATCCAAACGTGTACCGAGCCATCTACCGCTGGCCATCACCATAATGTAAACCTGATTGTGAACATCTTGGTATCTGGAGGGACGAGTGTTTATTACAGTTAGTTTTCTTAAAAGATAAAATTTCAGTTTACTGTAAAAAAAAAAAATTGCATTGCATTAGCTTTGTATCACTTTGCTCTGTGATCTGTGATTGGTCCAAAGAACTCGAGCCTTCCTCTAAACAAATTATATCAAAAAAGTAAAAGAAAAACTAACCGCCTGTTGATCTTTCCGATTTTCCTATACTCAGTGCCGTTTCTTTGATTTACTTTTAGTTATCGTTAACTAGTTGTATTCTTTTCCACTTTTGTTCTGACTGGCTTGTTATGATTACTTTGGCTTTGTTGTTTAAAAATCAGTCTTAAAAAGCTGTAATAAGATAATTTGGGGTAAACACGCCTGATAATAGAATGGAGCCTTCCTACGAATTCCTCCCCTCTTCTCCCCGGAAAGGCGCTACTTTCCAAGAAACTCCCGTAAGGAAACGTTCATTTCGTGACAGGCATACGTCAGAAAGATCTCAAAAGACACGACAAAAGTTTGGTAATTTAAGTTGAAAGTACTGTCAATAACAACTCCTTCGCTCTCTGTGCATTAATTAGCTCTTGCAGCGCACCCTGAGTCAATGTTTCTAACGTACCTATATAGTGTGTCCACAAAATCTGTCTGTCTTCCTCTTGTACGAATCGTGTCCAGTCCTACCAGAGTCTCCGAAAAGTGAGCAAACACTGGGCTGCGAGATATCGACTCAAGCCTCTTCAGTTCTCTGGCCGTTTTCAAGTAATAATTGGAAAGAACAACGACCACCACAAAAATTGGAACAACGAGAAACACGAGCCAAACATTTGTGGCCACTGTTATCAGAATTTGGGCTAATATCATCAAGAGCATCTGCATTGCTGCCAGGAATGTTTTGGGTAGCAACTCATCCACGCAGCCAATATCATTCGAGAAGCGATTTAGAATTCTTCCCAATGGATTACAATCAAAGAACAGAACAGGTGCTTGTAAAATGGCCACAACCATTTTATCGTGGAGACTTTCGGCGCTCTTTAGAGAAACTAGGAGGAATCCATAGGCCCGAATGATAGTAAATATGAAACAGGCACCAACCAGACAGGCGAAGACAGATAAAAAAGTCTTGTTCTTCTGATCCTCTGGGATTAACTTTGTAAGAAAAGAGAGCCACAGGTCCGGAGCAACTATGACAGCTGAAATAGACACACCATCAAGATGTGGTAATTGAAATGTACTTCTATATGAGGATTTGTTTAAAAGTTAAAAGAGTTATCTAGTCTCGACACTACCCGCCTGGATTAAATACATATATCTTATTAGACGTTTTGTTGTGTAGTATCCCTAAGTATTTTACGAGTTGTGCCGTACTTTGACGAGCCCGTAGGACGAGTCAAAATACAAACAACGAGTAAAAATACTCAGCGATACTACACAACAAAACCTCTAATAATAGACTTATTATCCAACACGCCAAATTGTTATTTCAGTGCGTGTAAATTCGAATTTCGCGGATATTTCTGGAGTACAAACATAACGTGCTATTTTTACTCGTCTCGATCGTTGTTTCGTACACTACGAAGCACAGTTGGATAATAATACTCAGTATGATTTGCAGGTTGAGGATATTTCTGTAAGCACTGCAATATGTGTGGATAGATGAAAAGGCTAACCGTGGTTGTCTACATTAAAAGAAAACTGCCCTCGAAATTAGTTAGTAAGGTAGCCCGCAAAACAGCTGGCTTTTTCTTGTGTTTTTGATGTGAGTAGAGGTGAACGCAAGCCAAGCAAGAGACAAACGAGAGCGGCTGGACACGTGCTACTTTAATTGCGAGTGTCTCACCTTTGCGTTGCCCTCGTGCGTATCTCATGCTCGGTCCTTCACTTCAAAAAAACAAAAAAAGCCGCCCCTTTTTGCAGGTCATAAACCAGTTCATTTTCATATTTTGTTATTAACGCACGCTGTTGATTAAAGCGATTGTTGTAATCGAATGCTTTGCACGTGATAGAAAAAAGATGACTGTATTCCTTTTTAGGGCCTAACCCAAGGCACGTAACTCGGTATAACAATAAGTTTACCTTGAGTAATGAGAATTAAACCAACCATTCCAATTATCATCAAAGGACGCGTTCCACTTCTGAAGTAGTCCCAGTAAAGCTTGGATGTCACAACTCCGATTGTACGATCCTCCTTTGCTATCTCTAAACTCCTCGCTTCAGTAGACAAAGAATGTGTTTTCTGGCATTTTTCAACTTCATCGTGTTTCTCTGTATTCTCCCAGGCAAAAGTCTCAGATGATTCTGTTTTCTCCTTCAAAGCTGCTTTGTAGAGCGGGTCAACAGTTGCACTGATTACACCTTTTTCGTACAGCTCAGTAAAGCGTCCCTTGTCCAGGACACACCCTTTGTACAACACAATCACTTCATCAGCATTTTCCATGTGCTGTTGCTGATGAGAGGTTAACAGAACGATTTTATCAGCCAGTAGATTTTTGATGCACGTGTTAAAGATGTGTTGGCCAACTTTAAAATCGACAGCACTTAGTGGATCATCCAATAGATAAGTATCTCCGTCAGCATAAACTGCACGCGCTAAACTTACTCTTGCCTGTTGTCCTCCACTCAGAACCTCGCCGCGTTCTCCAACAACTGTTTGGTCACCATCAGGTAACCGCTGAAAGTCTTCTTTCAGAGCACAGACGTCGATTATTCTTTCGTACTTGGACTCCGCATAGGGCTGGCCAAATAGAATGTTTTCTTTTATTGTTCCCGAGAATACCCAAGCAGTCTGAGGCAAGTAAATGACATTGCCTCGATACAAAATCGTGCCACTAGTGTTGGAAATTTCACCAGCGATCGCTGAGAGTAGAGTAGACTTACCACTTCCAACCGGCCCGGTAATTACTGTTAAACTCTTTGAACGTGCAACAAAGTTGATATCTTGAAGAATAAATTCATTTTCACGATGGCTTT